GGTTGCGCGGGAACAGGTCAAATCGCACTCTCGCCTGCATTTCGCGCGCTCGACGCGCACGATCTCCGCAGAGGGTTGCGCGCGCGCCGGTCAAATCGCACTCTCGCCTGCATTTCGCGCACTCGACGCGTGCGATCTCCGCAGGGGGTTGCGCGCGCGCCGGACAAATCGCACTCTCGCCTGCATTTCGCGCACTCGACGCGCGGAGATCGCAGAGGGTTGCGCGCGCGCCGGACAAATCGCACTCTCGCCTGCATTTCGCGCACTCGACGCGCGCGATCTCCGCAGAGGGTTGCGCGCGCATCCGACAAATCGCGCTCTCGCCTGCATTTCGCGCGCTCGACACGCGCGATCTCCGCAGAGGGTTGCATTTTCAGTTGACGCTGTTCGTCCCACCCTCCGCCTTTAAGAGAGACAATTATAAAGTGGGGAAATGCTTTTCATTAGGACATCTCCCGTGCAAGTTTTTTCCATACATGCATACTCAATGCATACTTTGCACATTTCCTTTTGCACTTGGATACTTGCCGTTGGATGCTTTCACTCTTCCACTTACACTGGGGTACGTATAGAAGTGTAAGTGTTCATGTTCATGTTCATGTTCAAGTGTAAGTGTGAAAGCGTAAGCGTTCAAGTGTGTCGAAATGTCAGTGTTCAAGTGCAAGTGTGGAAGTGTCAGTCTGTGAGTGTAAGTGTAGAAGTGTCAGTGTTCAAGAGATTTTCCGGAGGAACCCTTCGCAATGCTTTCGGGAATGATAATCTGCAGAGATCTAGAGAGAATCTTTTATAACAAAAAGGCGTCTATATAAAATCTTTCCAAATCTAAACATAATTATAAGCAGAGATCTAGAGGACAATTGTTAAGATAAACACTTTTATGGCCTAGTTACTTCTTTCCTACTCATCTTGTTCAAAACCATCTGAATGACTGCTTGCTGCTTCCAAAACAATAAAATGACACTGATTCAGGAATACCTAATATATTTGTTCATATAGAGAGAGCAGGAATCGATTATGTATGTGTTTATATGGAAAGGGGCTGCCACTGAAGCATTTACCTAAAATTTTGGGACAACCAAAACCCAGGCCCCATGACCACCCGCTCTCCTCACAAGAGTGTCCCACAAGAGTGTCCGACAAGAGTGTCCCATAAGAGTTACCCACAAGAGTGTCCTACAAGAGTGTCCCGTAAGAGTGTCCCACAAGAGTGTCCTACAAGAGTGTCCCACAAGAGTGTCCTATAAGATCAGTGATGGTATTTAGCCTACAGAATGGTGGGGGTTAACCCTCCTACAGAATGCACATTTAGTAGTAAAGGGGTTTGGACGCACGACCCCTGTGGTTGGGATGCCAGCATTCTGTAGGCAGCAAGAGGGTTGGGTGTACTTATTTAGTAGGGAAAAGAGAATGCACGATTTGTGGGTTGGGTGTACTTATTTGGTAGGGGAGGTCCTTCATTTTGTAGGGAATCATAATGGATGGATATGGGTGTCTGAACTGTCTCTCCCTGTGTCTCTTCCCTTAACGGGGGAGTCCCACCGAATCAGACCGCCTTCGGGACACACTCCGTCGATGAATCCGAACAGGTTTCCCGGTTTCGATGCCGTTCGCTCCGCCGCCGGTCAACTTTCGGGTCACCTCTTCGGACCCCCCATGACTCCCCTCACCTGTTCGGACGTTCGGACTCGGTGGGCCTCCCACCGTTAAGGGAAGAGACAGGGGGAGAGGAGAAAAAGTGTAAAAAGTAGCTAGTTAATTTCTAATTTTTTGCTATTTTCCTGGTCAAATTCCTTCAGTTCCTATCCTCCCTTGATGTTTCAAGAGTTTTGAGGCCATTTCTTGAAATTTATGTTTTTTTTTGGAAAAATGATGAAAATTCCATAATGTCTAGACAGTTTCCTGGTCAAACTCACTACCGAATGAGTAGGCCCTTCCAGACCGCGCCCCATTTTGTAGCAATGACCTTGGCCCCCTCCATTTTGTATAATTGGCCTATCCCCTCCCTACAAAATGAGTCCATTTTTTTGGAGTCACTTTGTAGGGATGGGACGTTGGTCGCTGACATTTTGTAGTGATTTTTACTACCAAATAGGGACCCCGACCCCTCACCCTAAATATCAACGGGGATCCTATAAGAGTGTCCCACAAGAGTTTCCTACACGAGTGACCCACAAGAGTGTCCTAAAAGAGTGCCCCGCCAGAGTTTCCTACAAAAGCGACCCACAAGAGTGTCCTACAAGAGTGTTCCACAAGAGTGTCCTACAAGAGTGTCCCACAAGAGTGTCCCACAAGACTGTTCCATAAGAGTGTCCCACAAGAGCGTCCCAGAAGAGTGTCCCACAAGAGTGTCCCACAAGAGTGTCCCGTAAGAGTGTCCCACAAGAGTTTCCTACAAGAGTGACCCACAAGAGTGTCCCACAAGAGTGTCCCACAAGAGTGTCCCATAAGAATGTCCCACAAGAGTGTCCCACAAGAGTGTCCTACAAGAGTGTCATTTGGACATATGTAGCTTTTTGAACGTGTTTGCATTCGGGTTCGTGGGCTCCATATTGTTTTTTGCTTTGCTTTCAAGCTCTCACAGATCCTTCAGAACTGAGGTCATCTTGACGCTTTTGGAGCCCCTCATTAGCCTTTCAGAAACATCGTACGTTGAAGGACTTGCTCAAATCTCAGGAATTATGCGCTGTTGGAGCTGTCGTGTGAAGCTTGTGTGGTGTGTCGGGGTGAATGAGGTTCGCGGAATCCATGAGACTGTCTTCAAAAAGTCTGGCACTTTGAGATCTTTCAGCTGGGTTGAAGCACACAACTGTGAATTGCTTTTGTTGAACAAGAATACAAAGGTACCTTGCTCAAACTTGCCCAGGGTTCCGTGGGAGCTGCTGGACAGTTTGATCAAGAGATTGTCCTGACCTTTGCCAGCGAAGACAATTTCTTTCTAACTGTAACTTTATACTCATAATATATAACTTCATCTCATTCCATGTCGTTCCAGTCGTTCCACTTCGCAGCCTCAGAAGGGTCTCATATAGTGACTCACCTTGGAACATGGTTTGTTTGTGTCGGAAGTTGGGTGAGACTGACTCATTTACAGTCAGGCTGGAAGCTGCTGCCCGAACAGACATCCTCCAGCAAAATCGAGAAGTCTCCCGGCATTGGTTCAACATCGCTCCGTATCTTTGAGCCCGATGCATTGGCACTCAGGTGCTATATGAGACAGTTGACGAATTGGAAAGACGAGCAAGGCACACCATATTGATTGGATTCTTGGGTCTTGATCACTGTTCAGTGGGTCGTTCGTGGTCCACCAAATAATTTTGAGTGCCGTCGCACCTTGAAGCTCTACTACAACGCATGTTTGATGATCACAAACCACCAGAGCAGTTCAAGCCAGCTTGCAGGGGTCCTCCTCCCAGTGTGCTGCTTTTCAACGAGGTGCCTGCCGAAATTGTGCAGTAGAATCCAAGCGCTGAGACACCGTTGTCCTTGTCATATTGAGACAATTTACATTTTAAAACCATCATGAAACACAATTGTTACTATCTCTTTCTTGCCAACAGCTGGCTTGTGTCTGGAAAGATAGAGTTTGGTCTTGCTCTTCAGCAGGATATCTCCGACAAAGCAGACGCAGTTCCAAAGGAGGGGACAGATCCAGAGGGATTAGTTGAGTTCAGATAACAATTTTGCAGGGGAAAAGAGCAACAACGAAGGGGAAAAGCAAAAAGGGGTCAAAGACAAAGGTGGCCAAGGCTGGACGATGAGGAAGATTAATAATATCTGAAGATCTGGACGCAAAAGAACAACACAAATTTACTTCGACTTTTCATTTTTTCATCTTCTTTCCTTGAAGGCAAAGAATGCAAAGAGAGTCAGCCAGGTTTCTCCATTGATGCTTCCTAAGGCAATTGTTTTCACCGATTTCACATGATGTCCGCTTGCTTTCGATTTGATTTGACACTTGCAGGCAGCAGAGCCACAATTGCCAAAGACAGAGCTGACCGGTAAGAGGACTTGTCACTGCCTTCATGTAGGAGCATTATACACTTAATGAACATTCTGAATATTTACACCCTGCGGGTTGTTCCGCCGGCCTTTTCAGCCAATGGTCCCAAGATGCGGATTACCTTTTGCGTCAAGAGGAAAGACTACAAGAGAGCAGAAAAAGTAACAGCGTCATCCAGAACACAGCTGGAGCAACAGAGGAGCCTACATGAAATGACGTGCATTATGATACAATAAGAGAACAGGGAGATGAAATTGGGGGATGCAAAGTATAGCCTGCCAAGCAAGAAGACAAATTATATGACATGTGACACAATGAGCAAAGTAGACCGTGCGAAGCAGCAAACGTACATAGTACATAGCACTCCGTCAGACATGATACAAGAGAGTAATGAGGACATGTGTGGCATGGGGATTTCCAAGCAGTCTGAGTCTGCAAAAAAGGATAGATACGTGAGTGCAGGTGCAAAACCTGAGAAAACGCGTGCAAAGCAGAAGCGCAGTGCATGGACAACGACAAGAGAAGAACGACGATAAGAAGGAAGCGCACACAACCTTTCACTTTAGCTATGATATATGTGAGCTACATACGGGGGGGAGAGGGGGGGAGGGGGGGGGTCAAGTTAGGCAAGGCAAAAACTTGCTCCAGAGACACTTTTCTTATTACATATAGATTCAACATAACTTAGGCTACATACAAGCCACATTGATAAAACACACCGGCGCCCAAGGGCCGGCGGATTCTCGTCGAGCAGCAACAGACATGTTGGAAAGACAAGTCATTGTCCATCCCTGGTATGCAGCTGCAGTAGGGAGTCTAAAGGCCTTTGGCCGAAGGCCGCAGGCTTTTGCATTATTCCAAAACTATATTTAGCAACATAGACAATTACTGTAAACTACAAGTCTTCAGAGTCTTGAAGGCTTTGAATATTGTTGAAGTCACAACAAAGCAACATGGGCTGAACAAGATTTGTTTCAGACAAATGACCCAGCATCGTCTTGGAATAAAGCACATGTTGTCTCAACGTGTGAGCTTTGAGAGCGCACGTTGTCAAAACTGTTATCCTTTGGAGCAAGCTGTGCCACGTTGGCACGCGGCTGTGCAGGCGCGTCATTATGCATCGCCGCGCACCATTCAAAACCAATCGCATCGCTGATTGTTTGTTCCAAGTTCGTTTACGGAATTGTCACAAGCGTATCAAACACCACCGAGCCACAATTCTCTGCGCAGCGCAAGGCATGTGTTTGGACACGCAGCGCTGAGGTGTCAAATAACGGGAGAAGTTTAGGATATGATAGGAGGGGCGAAGACCACCATATCAAGAAACCTCGATAGGGTTCATCTTATGGGGCCCCGTCAAGGAGACCTTGCCAAGCAACCCCTATTCGTTTACAGGGTGGGTAGGCAAAGCAAGGGCCAAGTCTGCTGGTGTGTGTGTGTGTCAGACTTCTGTAGTGTCAAGCCAAAATGTACAGAGCAATTCATTCCTCAACTGCTACCGCATTCAGTTCGAGAACTTGCCTTCCATACCCAGCTCAGTCTAGGTGCGGCCATGCTTACCCATCCCACAGACCCACCTAAACTGGCCTACCTGCGCAAGAAACTAGTCAATAGTCATGAAACCGCGTCAAACTGCAGAAACTGAAATTGCAAAAACACCCACCCGGAAGCCGAGGGGTAAAAACACCGCGGGCAGAGACTTCCAGCCGCACTTCCGTCGCTTCGGCGACGGGGTCGCGAAGCGCAGCTATCAATGACAGGAACATGACAAAGAAAAACAAAGACTCAAGACTCAAGACAAACCAAAAAGATCCAAAAAGCGCGGATGAACTCAGGTACGTGGCCATCAACAAACTGCTTCCAAACCGATCCCCAACTACGACCGACCCAACCCTTCAAAATGCTCAAGAGAGTCAAAGTCGAACGTACCCAGACACATGTTGGTCTAAGAAGCTCTAGGATTTTTTGCGGTCGACAACTGATTCAAGATACCAAGAGTCAAAAGTAAAAGTTCAAGAAGGGAGAAGGGAAGCAAAAGAATCCGTCAGGATGAGACAGATCTGAACGTAATCGAAGTGTCGGCTCCTGAAGTCCGCAACGATCTTTCCTCACACACAACGAAGTAGGTCGTAGCTCGGACCGCGCTCAAGGGCCCTTGAGCCAAAATGGCCGTGCGGAAAGTGAAATTCCTATGCATTCAAATGTAATATGAAGCTTCTATAGGATCTATAGGGCTTCTCTTCAGATCAGAAATGTTCAGAACATTTATGTTATTAAAATTTTATATATTTTCCTACTGACTGCATTCATCAAGCAAAAACGGAAGGTCCACAAGCAAATCTACACTGATGTTGTCAGTAACCCCCTTCGGGAAGGGGACATCTGAAAGATCTTCTTCTTTTAAGTGTCTCTCTTGGAAAAAATATACATTTTTGGATTCTGGACAACAAAAAATAAGACGTCCTACGGTAACGCTTTTTAAATATATGGTGGCCTGGCCAGAGCAATCGGCCCCGGAGGTAGTCTAAAATACCTGTTCCCACCGTGTATTTAAAGGGTCTGGCCGGGCCCCGTATATTTAAAATGTAGACGGATCCCTGTTGACATTTCTTCTACATGTTGTAACGAGGCAGTTTTTGGCACCTACAGAACCCGATTTTTTGAGAAACAACTTTGCTTTCTGCCAGGTCGATCTAGCTTTTCAAACCCTCTCACAGGAAGTAGAACTCATCAAGGACTAGGACTCTTACTACGTTCAGGGCTGCAGGCTGTATGGGGAGGTGCCACACCACCAAATCAAAACCACCAGGGCCGCCTGGACACCAAGACCACCTGGACCACCAGGACCACCTAGACCACCAAGATCGCCTGACCGTATATTTAAATCGTATGCTGTATACTCATTCCGTATGTTTAAAGGGTCTGGCCGGGCTGGCAAAAACCTTGCCGGAGGTAGTCTAAAATACCTGTTGTTTTAGAAAATCGTATATTTAAAAGCGATGCCGTATAATCTAAGTGTCTTACTTTAGACATGTCATCATGTCATCGTCTATGTCTAAGAGAAGATTTTTTTGCAACTTCGTTCATAGAAAACCGTCAGACCTGGTAGGTTCGATCTCGGGTACAAGAAGGCACCTTGGTTTGATCTTAGTGATCTTAGTGACTGTGAACCTTGAACGAACAATCTGGCGCCGAATTCATTTCTGCCAATTGAACTCATCGCGGTGTTGTGTTGCCGCTTGGCCCTTCCGCTTCGCCACGTCGACGCCGGGCAGACTAGACTCCTCTGAGAAGTCCACTGAGCAGCCAGGAGCCCCTAGTAGCTTCTTGCTCCTAGTAGCGATGCCCTTTGCTCCTAGTAGCTTCTTGTTACTAGTAGCGTCCTTGCTCCTCCTGTTTTCTTTTTCTATGTTTTGTTCCTGTTGTCTTCTTGTCCGGTTGTATTGCCTGTCCTCTTGTTCTCCTTCTGCTGGTGTCCAGCTTGGCCGCGCCAGTGAACCCTATGTCCGCCTGTCATCCTTCTTGTCCACCTGTTGTCCTCTTCTTGTTCTGCTTCCAGCCGGGCGCTGCCGCGAGCCCGTCTCCACCTTGTCCTTTTGTTGTATGTTTTTTGTATCTTTTTGCCCTTTGTTTTTTCCTCCTCTTGTCCTTCTCTTCTCCTCTTGTTGTCCTCTTCCTGTCCTCCCTTTGTCCTCTTCTTGTCCCCTTGTTGTCCTTCTGCTCTTGTCTGGATGACAGCGTGGCAGTATGCAGACATGACAGCGTGAAAGCGGGCGCGCGCAGCACCCCCAATCCTGAAGGGTCATCAAAGGGTTCAACAACGTGAGAAAACAATTGCGCGCGCACAAGTCCTGTTTTGCACCTAGTGGGAAAGTGCCAGCCAGCAAGCGGGAAGACGGCAGTAGCGGAGCATGGCCATGTGGCAGCATGTCAGCGTGTATATTAACATGACAACGCGCAAGCGTACGCTACAAAGAAGTGAAGCACTAGCAAGACAACTCCGGAAAGCAATCCCAGAAGCCGATGTCTTCTTTGCGGTTCTCTCGCAGGAAAAAAGAAGCTGGCCACAGTGGCAGGCTGCGCCGGCGGATGTCCTCTTCTTCTCCTTTTGTCGCAATCTTTCCGGTCCTGTCCTCCTCATGTTCTGCTAGTCTCCGGTCGCGCTCATCCCCTCTTGTCCTCTCTTCGTTTTTACGTTGCTTTCCGAGGCGGGGGCTGGGGCTGCGGCTGCCCACCGCAACAACAACAATAATTCTTCCCGACTATATAAGCTGTTTGGGGTCTACTAGTACGCTAATATAGTCGAGGACATGCAGTTGGACAAGAAACATGCCGCCTCTCCCGTTTTCCTCTCACTCCTCTCATCAGTAAAAGAAGCGACGCAAATAGGATCAAATAGGCTAAGCTTGTATCAGCCATTTGGCAGTTTGAGGCAAGTCAGGCGGTACTGCCTGGTAGATTCAAAGCAATGATTCAAAATTCGCTTGAAATGTTCACAGGTTAGACTGTTAGACCTTGGAGGCCAAAAGTCAGCAGGTGGATCCTGGTGAATTTAAACAACTGTTCCAACGATTATTGAACTTGAACCGGCGACATATCATGAGGCAGGCCTCCTTCCAAAAGGATATGGGTTTTCACCTGGTGTAATCCTCAGCTGGCCAAAGTTGACTTCTGGACTAAACGAACACCAATTCCAAATTTGATTTTTTGTAAGCTTTTGTTCAGCCATGGATCTCTATAGTTGGAGATGTGGCTTCAAAATGCCCATACATTGGAAGCAACCCAGGGATGAGGAGCATTCTTCACTGGCCTTTTCAGAGGATGTCAGACCAGGAAACTCTCAGCGCAAAGTGCTGCCAATGAACCACCAGTATTCACGTCCAACGATTGGCTCACTGGATTCTTGGGCCTTGGAGCAACATAGGTCAAGCAAGGTTTCCTTCGGGCACCAGCCCAGCATCAACACCAAATCAGTCCAGGCACAGACACACAAAGTCTCCATTGT